GCCGAGGCCATGTCTGCGCGGGAAGGCGGCGGAGGGCAGCCCGCGCGGGCCCGGCTCCGCCTCTTCCTCCGCGGGGCGGCGGGATTGGCTGCGCTTGTGGGCGTTCCTCGCCTCCCCCTCCCCAAATCGGGGTTCCCGTGCCCCGCCCCTGGTGCGGACCTTTCCGGTTCCCCCGGTTTCTTTGCGTTTCCCGTTATAACGGGCTCCTGGCCGTGGTGGGGCTGGGCCCCGGGTGTGGAGCGCTTCTGCTGCCCCAGACTCTGCTCCGCATCTCCTTAGCTGGCTCACAAAAAGCCCTCTAAGGCGGAGCCGCGCTCCCCAGCAGGGCCAGCGGCGGGGTCTGCGCGGCCTCAGCCCCAGAGCCTGCGGGCTGCGCCCCGGAGGTTCTGGCGGGCGGGAGGAACAGGCTCGCGGAGATGCGCTACAGCCAGCCCCGGAGGCTCGGGCCGCGGGGCGTGGCTTGCCCTTCTCGGCAAACGCCCAGGCGTTGCTTATTTCCCTCAGTTCCTTGGGGAGGAGGTAGGGCTGGGGTTGACTGGGTTCAGGGAGAAGGGAAGCTGAGTAACATGCGACTGGGTTAACTTTTTTTACTCATCTGCAATTTGAGGGGAGGCTTTTAAAGGAATGTAACTCTGCCCACCTGCACACTGGCTCTACCAGGCAAGGCCTGTCCTTAACCCTACCTCAAAGCTGTGTCTGGTACGCGCAGACTCACAGTGCAGACCCATGTCTTCGTCATCCAACACTGGAAGGACCCCGCCACACACGCACGTCCCATCAGTTCCCCGCTGGGATAGTTGTTCACGCTTAAAGCCTCACCCTTTCCCTACTGGGATAATCCTACATGTTGTTCCTTGATGGTGTGATAACTCGAAACACACCTTTCTGTGACAGCAATTTTAAGGGAGGCCTCTTGAGATCCGTAAATGCTGCAGCTTACTCTGGGGTGGAAGGATGGCCAAGGAAAGTGATACTAGCCTTCTCCCCTACAGCAGTGTTACGGTTTAGACCTAGATGTCCCTGAAAATTCTGAGGCAGTTATAGTTAGAGCTCTTGGGAAGTGATGGTTTGGGGGCTCTACAGCTCACCTGCTGTCAGGAGGCAGCTATGCGTTGGAAGAGGCGGGGTACTGTGGGCATGACCTGGAAGGGTACAGCTCCCTTTCCGGGCCCTCCCTTGACTTTTTCTGCTTCCCAGCCACCGTGCAGTGAGCAGTTGTTCGCTGGCCACGCTCTTCTGCCATGCTGTCGTGCCTGGGAGCCAGCTGCCGATGGACTATAACCATGAACCAAAACAAGCCTGTCCTCCTCTAGGCTGTGGCCGTTGGGCATTGTGTCCCAGTGAGGAGAAAGTGACTAGGACAGACTCTGGTCTTAGAGAAATGGGGTTGTCACTCTGGCTGTACTTGACCCTGTGGTCCAGATGCTTTTGGAACTGGCTTGGAGGAGGAGCTTCGAAAGGTTTGGTGGTGCAAGCTGCAGAAACCGCCCTAGAATGCTGTACTCAGATTTCATAAGACCAAAACGGTGATGAAAAGAGATAGCAAAGACCAGGTTCAGGAGGTTTGAATTGAAAAGGACTTTATTGGCAGTTAGACTCCGGGATGTGTGTTATGCTCTGGCAGAAAATTGATCTACATTTTCTCATATTCTGAGGCTTTGCAGAAGCCCAAGATTAAGGGAGGTGGAATAATTAATCTGATGAATATCTGATACCCAGAGTTAAAGGGGGAAAGACCAATTCCGGACTGCTGGGATTAGGGCAGTGCCAGTCCAGCCAGTGGACTGATCCAGCAATCACCCACTCTTAATCCCAGCACCCTTAATCCTAGCATTGAACCATGGATCCATCACAGATTCAGCTACCTCCAAAATGTCCCATCTAAAGTGCATAAGGCTTTGCAGGGACATCTAGACACAAACCATAACAAAGCTACAGGATTTAACATTTTCCCTGCTGCGTTTCAGTCTTTCTTTGATCCCATTCCTTTCTTTCCACCTCTTCCTCCCTTTTGGAATGGGAATGTTTGCCCTGTGCCATTGTATATTGTTGGAAGTATTTAACTTTCTTTTTGATTTTTATTGGGGCTCACAGCTACTAATTTGCTTTGAGTCTCAGAAAAGTCTTTGGACTTGGACTTTTCAGCCATGCTGGAACTGTTGACTTTGACAACTCTTAGAGATGGAGTAAATGCATTTTGCATAAAATGATGTGTGTGAGTCTTTTGGGGACCATGAGCAGAATGTTTTGGTTTAGATCTGAATGTCTCCTCAAAACCTCATGAGATCATAGCTGGGGATTTTTGGGAGGTAATTAGATTGTGGGAGCATTATAGCTCATTTGCTGCTAGGAGATGGGGTTAGAAGAGGGGCTTTCCTGTGGGTGTAACTGTATCTCCCTTCTTGGCTTCTCCTTTGACTTTCTCTGGTGCCCAGCTGCCACGAGGTAAGCAGCCATTCTTCTGCCATGCTGTTCAGCCTTGGATCCAACCACCTACAGACTGTAACTCTGAGACAAAATAAACTTCTCATTTAGGTTGTGTGTCTTGATTACTTTTCTCTCCTTGCTGAGACAAAAATACCTGACACCCAAAATTAGGGAAAGAAGGGTTTATTTAGCTTACAGTTTGTGGAGGTTTCAGTCCATATTTGGCTGGTTCCAAGGCAGAGTGGCACATGGCAGAGGGCAACCGTTCATGGCGGCGGAAGACAGCAAAAGCATCAAGAGCAAAAGGGAAAAGAAGAGACAAACAGCCTCTTTCCCTCCATTACATTGTATACAAACCACCCGCCCCAAGGCAGGTGTAGCACTCGCATCCATAATTCCAGCACTGGACCATGACTGTGTGAGGCTTTGAGGGACATCCAGACACAAACCATAACGGTGTCAGGTACGGTATCTCCCTGACAAGACAGTAACTAAGACAGGCAGCTAACACAGAAACAAGACATAATTTTGTTCAAAATATTACTTATGTTAACGTGAGTGCTATCCATTTAACCTGTTACTTAGATAGCATAGACTTACTCTTATTGTTTGCTTTAGCTATAAGTTTTCTCACAAAGTAACTTTCTTCTGTTACAATCACTCAATTTTTTTAGATTATAAAATGAAATGGCACAAGAAGGAAAGTAGATCAGATGCTCCTCTGAAGGAGCAGAAGGCTGAGGGTCATGGATGAAAAGAAAATATTTCTCTCGGGTGTTTCCTGCTGATTGTTCCACTGTAATCTTCTGATTTTCTCCCAGTCATTAAAGATTATAAAACTATTCTTAGCTTGCAGCTATTGTAAAAAACAGGTAGAGCCCTGGGTTTGGTTAAGACCTTAAACCATTGCCACTCAGACAGTGGCTGAATCAGGTGATTCTTGGGAAGACTTGTTAGACAGTGCTTTTGTCCGGCAGTTTGAAAAGATAGCTTGTAATATTTTTGCCCTATTTTCACAGGTTTGATCTTTATTTCCTAAAAATCCTAGAATAAAAGGAGGACAAAATTTCACATAGTTGGTTCTCACCCTTTTACATTGGTACAGAGAGTACTCAGTGAAGCAAGAGAGCCTCAAAGGTGTATTTCTTGCCCTACCCTGTGGCTCATGTCCTATAAATTCTCCTCTACTAACCTATGAAGTTATTTTCCTGAAAGTAGTTCTAAAGAAGCAGCCAGGGCATCTTATAACAATTCTGTTTATGAAACTGTACAAATACTTCAGTGGCTCCTGTTTTTTGGATGCTTTTCCAACTTCCCGGTGCTAGCTGACAAGTACTGAGACAGCGCTACCAGTAGTGTCTATAACAGGTCTTGAGCAATGGTACCTCAGGGTTCCATAGTCCCTTTGTAGCAGGAGAAGATATAATAGACTACGCCTTTAAATGTGACTTAATTACATGCTTTTTGAAGACTTCTCCAAACCATTCCAGGACTATCACATGTTCAAGAATGAAATATTCACATAATGCATGACATATGTCACTTTAACCAACCATGCCAGCCTTGACAAAGAATCATATCTCTGCCCCTGACCGTGGTGTTATTGCTGGGTAGATAATGATGCTGGCTGGTAACCCTTGCTCTGGAGGGATTAAACCTGGCACACTGTCATGGCTGAAGCAGCTCTCAAAAACTCTTCTGTGCTGCAGCTATTTTGGCCAAATTTACAAATTTAAATAATTGGGGAGTGACCTCACACTTCTCTAATTCTGTCTAACTCAGATCTTTTTATAGTATTCCTATATCACAGTTATAAGGGGTAAGGAAATGTTGACCACAATTTTTGTCAGTAGATTGTCATGGGGAGTTTAGTGAAAAAGCTCAGGTTATATCAGTAAGTCACTACTCAGGATGTAGCAGAACATTGTCAACAAAGTATCTTAAGGGTACAGTAAGAAAGTAAATATTAGCAATAATGATAATGCATCAAACTCTGAGTCCGGCCAAGCC